ACTCCCGTATCGAGTTCGCGGATTTTTCTTTTTTATTTTCCACCTCGTCTTTTTTTTCGGAGTTGAAGGCATTGCTGTCTCTCCCTTCGAAGCTCTCTTACTTATGCGTCTTGGGCCCGCCCGGGGTTGTGTTGATTGACATCAATCTTGAAGCCGAGAGGGGGGGCGGGGGGGAAAGTAGGCATTGGTGCCACTTGGCCCATGAGGGGAGCAGCTTCCGAGACGACCGTCGACCCCACACACGTGCTCTCGTCCGTGCCTCGCGGGCCGGCAAGTCGGGCGACGCCGAGAGGCTGTGCGGAATGCCGCGCGTGTGTGCATGCATGCATGTGTAATAGTCGTGCTAGTAGCTGGCCGAACCGAGTCCCGGCTTGCCGCCGGTGCTCCGAACGTCGCGTCACATCTCCTCCGCCGCCTTCGCCGCCGCCTTCATCACCCCCGCCATCCGGCTCATCGTCGCGGGCGTCGGCGCCGCCGTGTCGCCGTCCTTCTTGGCGTCGTCGTCGCCACCACAGCAGCAGCAGCAGCAGCAGCTGCAGCAGCCGCCCTTCTTCTTCTTCTTCTTGCCCTCCTTGGCGGCCGCACCGGTGGCGGCCGGGTCCTGCTTCTTCTTCTTCTTCTTCTCCTCCTCATCCTCCTCCTCCTCGCCCTCCTCACCCTCGTCGCCTTGCTCGTCGCCGCCTTGCTCGTCGCCGCCCTCCTCGTCGCCGCCCTCCTCGTCCATGTCCAGGTCCAGGTCCGCGCAGAGACCCAAGGGATCGCAGGGGTTGAATTCAATCAATTCCTCGAGAGGCTCGCCCGCCATCCTGCACAGCTTGAAGCATTTGCAGCACACTCCCATGGTTCAGTACCTGCGCGAATGAATGCGCGCTTTGGCGGTCATTCGCGGTGCGGGAAGCGTGCCGGGGTGGGTGGTGCGCAGTGGTGGCGCGATCAGGAGCAGTGGGGAGGCTAGCGGGTGGCGGACGGTGGGCGCGGAGGGCGATGCGAAATGGGGTTTGGCGCACCTGACTCGAGACGTGCCTTGCTTGCGTGCGAGGCGCGAAGTGCTCGACGGCCGACCCGAGCCTCCTTTCAATGAGCTTCCTTTTCAGCCGCTGATGAGTTTCCATACAGTTGCTTTGCGAGTCCTTGTCCGAGACGTTCGAGTCCTTGTCCGAGACATCCTTCAAATCGCCTGAAAATGTAAACAAAGCCCGTGGTCGATGGAAGGACGATGCGTCACCAGCGATGCGACATCGTTCTTTCTTTCGCTCTGTCTGCCTGCACCTGTACCTGTCTATCTACCTGTCTGTACCTGTCTGTGTTAGTTGAGTTAGTTAGTGCCACAGTGCGCGCCACAGTCTTCCCGTCCCGTGCCCAGCCAGTGTCGTGCGAGGTCCTTACTACGTGCCTCCCTCCCTCCCTGTCTCTGCCTGACTCACTCTGTAGCCTGGCTGGCGTTTGTGCCCCGTGCGTGCCTGCCGCGTCCTGTGTCCCCCGACCGAGTTCACTTAAAAAAGAGCACTGGCCTAATTTCTTGGAGCACTCTACTGTCGCTGACCAAGTTTATTTTTTTGCCCGGACGGGACGGACGATTGCACTAGACCGCGCCGCCAGCGAGGCGAGAGCGGCAGCAGCCGACATGTCGCTCTCTCTGACGGGACGGGCGCTGCGTGCATTCGCTCTCTCTCGCGCGGCTAGGCTCGGCGCCGGCTGCGCCGCGGCTGGTCTCGCCGCCTCTCAGACCGAGTGCCTCGGCGCGGATGCTCGCCGCATTTCAGAGAGCTGCGACGCGGTTGG